AAAATCAGAGGCATCCCCCATTCTGGCTGTTATTGAGCATTTATTATCATTGACGTCAACTATATTCATAGATGGCGCCACGTCCTTACAACAAAAACAAAAAAACTTCGTTAAATTTTCTGTAACACAACATACACACGGGGAGGGAACACAAACGTCTTATATGTCTCCGAGAGTGCGCTGACACTGTCTATGGTTTGGTTTGATTTTGAATTTCGCGCAAAGCTACACGAGGGCTATCTGCGCTAGCCGTTCCTAACTGAGCAGTGAAAGACTAGAGGGAAGGCAGCTAGTCATCACCACCCACCTTCAACGCTTGGGCTACTCTTTTACCAACAAATAGTTGGATTGACCGTCACATTATAACGCCCCCACCGCAAGCATGTATGTTGGGACAGGGATTCGAACCCGCGACCTTCAGAGTGCGAGTCAAGCGCCATAACCACCTGGCCATGCTGGGCCTTGTCTATAGAGGAATGCAATGAAAAAAAATTGCTGTCACTATTGCAATAATACATAAACTCAGTTGAAATTTCTACTACAGCAACCACCATAAGGTTGATATGAAGAGCTATTCTTTTAGTTATACTAACTTCCTACTTTGATCCTTGTCCTTTCAAATTTGGCCTGTAAGACACTTCGGGGACCAATGACCGTCTAATAATTAATCACGTGAAACACTGTGGAAGGACATGAAGAGCTGGGTGTGAAAGCGGGCAACAGAAAGAACCCCTACCGCCACCACTTTGGTCACTACTTCTTCCTACAAAGTCACCCTGACCATCTCACAGTGAATACCATGTTTTAAGTATATACATATTGAGTTCTTAAAGCTTATACAAAACTTTTGGGATGTAATAATGAATATTGTAATAATATATTATGAATAGGAGGGGGCCCTCAATAGCCGCGGCACTTGAAATTCTTTTAGGTAGGATCAGAGTAAATTAATCCATGAAACTTTTTTCCCCTTTTTATTACCTATACTTTTGTGCGCCAGCAATACCAAACGTGGAGCGCGCTTATATTCGATTGGATTTTACTACTCATCAGAATCTCTACCAGCCTACCCTCAAATTGAAATTCCTTTAAGTATGATTAGAGTAAATTAATCTATGAGATATGGGGGGTGGTCAAATTCATGAATCGAGAAAGGGTTTGGCCTCCTCAAGCCAAAATTATAATTAGATCTCAAATCGGCCAAGAGTTGACGGAGCTATGAGCTAAAGCTTTGTACTTGAAAAAAAAATCTCAGGGCCATTCTATGAGCCGCTATGCAACGGCTAATAAATTGTGTGAAAGTAGGATTTTTGTGTTATTTATCATAGCATCCACCCCACATTTTTAAAGTTCATAACCTAGATAAAGGAATGGTACCTCAGTTTGTATACAAATAAAGTCCAATATAAATGATTTATATATTTTTTGCAAATGGCTTAATTTTATATTTCATTTGACCGAAAGTTAAATGAAAACCTTTTATAACTTTGATTACATTATTAGACTTAACGGAAAAATCTTGCTAATAATAGTTACAAACAAACAAAATGCAAATATTCAATTACAAAGAAAACTCACACAATTATATTAACGTCTAAAAACTACATAATCGTTATATTCTTCAGTTTAGTAACGTTTCACGATTATAGTTAATTAAAATCTATACGATATAAATACATGATAATTTAGTACCACTGTGTTGGCTTGTAATCAGAAAAGTATATTATTACGCCTGTCGTAGCCTAGTGACTATTGTGTCGACCTGCGGACCGGAAAGACCACGGTCCGAGCCCGTGGTAAGATTCTGAAAAAAGTACCGCATTTTCAGCTGTGAGCGCGTTGCAAAAGTGAAAATTAATTCAGCTATTGGGTTAAAAATAATCATATGGGCGACATGTACTGTTACTTGGTTGCCTTCTTGATCAGGAGATCAAAATTAAATACTGTGGTGATCTCTGGACTACTCCATTAGCTCATTTACCACTTAAGGTGCCAGTGAGGTTACAAATACTAAATACTACTCCATTTTAAAAGAGCAAAGGTTTAATCAAATGGTAATAATATAAGAATGAAAATTAAGTTATATAACTAACTATTTTAAAAGTGTAAATAATAAAATTAACTTACGAACAGATAATAAAGTGAAAATACATGGTTTGTTTTGAACTCCAACCACATTTTGAGCTTTGCAAGCTAGAAATCCAAAGTCGTTTTCATCTTGTGGACTATAACGAGCTACACTCTTTACACCAAAGCTTTCAAAGGAGGAAATTTCCCTATTATTCTCTGTGTTGTTCACTTCCCAAGTAAAAGTAACATTAACGGGATCAGCTTCAACCTCACAGGATACTTCGGCCACTTCTTTCACTGTGACGGCATAAACAAATTTCTGACCTTTCTTACACACGGGGGCATCTAGGGAAATCAAATATCTCATTACAGGACAAAAATAATAACATAGATCTTTAACGCTGAATGAAGTGATCTTTCTTCATTTCAGTAAATGAGATAGAGTAAGTCTAAGAATACATCATTCAAATCACTGTGGCATTTGTAAAGAAAATACATAAAAAGTTGCTGCAGTCAAAATAAGACATTATAGGCTACAAACACACTAGCCTAAAGAACTGAAAATAGTCAGTTTTAATAAACTCATAATTAAATCCTAATTGTTAACCTCAATTTCCTACACTCATGGCAAATCATTTTTTTTACGAGAGGTTTATGTTTCACCTATATTCATAGTTTAGTTTCATAAATAATACATGAGTAAAATCGTAAAAATTCTTGTATTTTGACGTTGACTTTACCGATTGTGAAATTCACTTTTACCTCTAAGTTAGAGTTTTACTTGCATTTTATTTTAATCTCCAGCCCCTCGCTCTCCCCTCGTCCTTCTATGTTGTCAGCTAGACATCTGTAGATGCCACTTTGTTCTCTTCTAACGTTCTCCAGGACCAATGATTTATTGTTAACAAAAACCCCGGTTCGAGGATTCGTTAGTAATGTACCTCCTTGAAACTGCCATTCCATTCTCACAATCTTTGGGTTTGACTGAAACTCGCACTCCAAGTAAATATTATTTCCCTCGTACAACTTATCGGAAACTAGATTAGGATTCAGGCACACGGATAATTGAGGCGCATCTAATCAAGAAATTGAATTGCAAAAAAACGTATATTTTCAATGTGATTGCTAAAGAACAGGAAAACAAACTGATATATATATATACAGGCAATGAATATACCGATATTAAAATAGATAAAGACAAACATATGGAGATTATACAGAAAGTTATGTATATTAAAAGTCATAAGAGAAAAAAAGGCTGTGTATAAATATAATGATAGAAAGTAAGGTAGACGAAGTAGAATATTGACAGGGCTCCAGATAAATGTTCGAATTTTCAAAATTTAATTATAAGTTCTTGTACTGAGCTTAAAAACTAATTATATAAACTATAAGACCTTACTGAGAAAAAGAACAACACAAATCTCTTTATTTAATCTGCCTTCCCTTGCATCAAGATTTCATTAAGTCATGCTCTAGATTCAGTACCTGAAATTATGTTAAAAATAAAAATTAGAACTTCGATTGGAAGGTTGTTATTCACATACTCGATTATGAGATGATAAGATACTTAAAGAGTTATTATTTTATAATTGGTTTCAATAGATAATTTTATCATGGTTATGAACATATTTTCTGGTTGCTGTGTTCTAGTCACTTACTACAGAATGCATTGAGAATTTCACCCCAAATAAATTGATTTTCTTTGAAGTATTAAAAGTGAAATGTAACATCCAGCATATTTGTCTATTGTTAATAAATCTCCAAAGAAAGCACACTTAAAAAAATTAAACGAGTAACTCATATGTCATTTCTACGTTTAAAGTATAACTTTAATACCTACATTAAATAAATGCCCGACGTGAAAAGGAAAGTCTACCAATTTTTTGTACAATTGATCTGTAAGTTTCAAGACATTACTAATATACTTTTACTGATCATGATAAAGGAACGCTCATGTTTGATAGTCACTAAGAACATTTCGGTTTATAGCTGATCAAGTTTTGCACTCGACTAGCTTGACATTCGGTTCTATATAAAGTAACTGTTATTAAAAATGAATGGCATCCACTTAAACGAGGAGAAAACTGAGAATGAAGCAAGTGACATGGGTGAGGACAATGTAAACAGATGAAGAAAACGCGTGCTTCACAGGATCTAATTTAACAGTAACAAACTTGGGAGATCAGGACTACACTATAGAACATTCAGATTCTGGTGATATCGTTTAAATCTTACTATTCTTCGAATGGCCTACGTACAGGTAATTTGTATTTACCTTTACTCTCGGTGTCATTTATTGTTTAGCACTGTGGCATGATAATTGCAAATAATTCCTCACGAGAACAATTTTCTCTCTCTCTCTCTGTCTGTCTGTCTGTCACGCTTTGTAATTCATAAACGGTTAACTGTAGAAAAAATGACTAGAGGGAAGGCAGCTAGTCATCACCACCCACCGTTAACTCTTGGGCTACTCTTTACCAACGA